GCAGCCACAGCCCCAGCCCCAGCCGGGCAGACATCAAGTGGCTGCGGCTAATTAACGCCGCTGTAAAGACTCCGTCTCCGGTGCTAGGAGCTCGAAAAGAGGGAACCAAGTGGCAAGTGCCATTAGGGAGGCTGTGGAGAACACACGTGCTCCAGGGGCGAAAGATCTGCAGCGTGCGGATTCGTATCGGAATAGGGTTTGTGGCACCTCGATTCCAAATTTAGTTGGGCAATGCCGGCGTCTGTATCATTTCCTTTCCATTGCCCTTTCGGTTGTGGTGGGGCCGGGGAAGTCCAAAAATGAAAGCAGATGTTGGAAATCAGTGGAACATTAAGGGCCGCTCATGTGGAAACTTAATTGTTGCCACAAAATCAAACGGAACTCGGCAGGAGCAGCAGATCCAGTCCCGATCTATCCATCTTGATTGGAAGTCCTTCCTGCCGCCGAGGGTGTTGAAAATTTTGCCAAAATTTATTGGCTTCTCTCTCTCTAGTCTCGTGTTTGCTTGGGCATAACTCCGGGGGCAAGTCCGTAAGTTTGTATAAACAACATGGGTTTATTTTGTATTTTGGCGACATATGTCCGGCAGACCAATGATCACTCAAAATCGACTGATTGCCTGCAGCTGACGCAGTCAATAAGTTTCTAAGGGAAATGTGAAGCAGACAAGTTAATTCTTCATTAATGTCCGGCAATGGACGTAAGAGGGTGCTAATAAACTGAAACAAGCTATTGCTTTCTATACACTTTCGGCAACAAGGTCTTGTAGTATTAAGGATAAATATTCAGACTGTAATCATTGATTTATTCTTTACCCAATTCGACTTGCATTAAAGTACAAATATTAAGAAATACCTCAGGTATATTAATCCTTTACCCCGATTAACGCCTTAAAAACAGCATTAAGAGGACCCTTGGGGCCCTTAAAGGATCCTCCTCAATTATCGGATCATCCATTTGTAACACCTATCGACTTTTGCGTACCTATTCGATCCGATGTGTGCCACCGAACAACCCACTAGATTGCATTACATTCATTTCGCAAATTGCCACTAAAAGCAACAACAAAAGTGCATGAAATTTCAACATACGCTGCACACATGATCCATTCCCAGATCCTGCAGGAGGGTGGATGAAACGAGAGGAGGAGGCGGAGGGGATTTCCGTGCAATAACTGCGCAATATATCAAGCAAATACACCTGGGACTGGACGGGAAAATCGGGGATGTTTTGGCCGGGGCGCGCGAAGAACCAAACAGGAAAAATAAAACACGGCGTCGTGGAAACAATGGGAAAATCCAAATGGAAATGGGAAAAGCGAATGTGAGAGGAGAAAAAAATTTATTTATATGCGATTAAATGCAAAAGGCAATCCGGTGCGGGGGGAGGAGAGGAGGAAAAATAAAAATAATGGATTGAATCAAATTTTGGTAACCCTCCGCGGCAGGAGAGCGGACACGGGGCAAGGATGTGCGAGGATATCGTGGTGGAGGAAACCCAAGTGGAAGCGATGCAACTGCAGGCGGCGGCGACGACACAACGTCACGGGAAAACAGCAAATGACAACAAATGGAGAGCAAATACGGAGGGGGACAAGTGGCGGAGCGGAGCGGCGGAAGGAGGATAAACATTTGGCAACTGAAAACCAAAACCGAAAAACAACCTTGTAAAAAGCGAATGTCAACGATGGCAGCGACAATCGCTCCTTTCGGCGGGGAGGTCATCCGATCCACTCAGACCACTTCCGTGTGGGCCCCGGAGCTCGAGGCAGGGTAATCCTGTAACCGAGTCGAGTCGTCGCCGGTGCCCACCGAGAAGGGATTAATTCCACACATTAGCCGGCTGCCCGGGTAAGCTGACAAGACCAATGGCTGGCACTTGTTAATTTCTCATACTAATTTCGAAGAATGCCACGTGGGGAGTTCCATTTTTTAAGGGGTTACCATGGGTGCCCTGTGCGCCTCTTCATTAATCACTCTGATCGGTTTTTGAGCACGCACTGCGGCCCACGCACTATTCGCCATCATTTTTTAGGATTTCGTGCAGTTTTCCCAGCGGATCTGCCCAGTAATTGAAACTCTGTCGGTGGTGTGTGATAAATTCATAGCTAAGCGCATGATTAGCGCTTTTGCCTCCCAGGGACACGTCAGGAACAATCGTGCCTGGCCTGCCGAGAATGGAACCTAATTATTTATCGCACAAATGACTTTTTCTAGGTTCCCATTCCCTCCCTCAATTCTTGGCAAAGACTGACGGACGACTGTGATTGGCACTTTTCATGGAGACATTGAAGTGAGTGGCCCAAACTGGCTGTCAAGGAACCGAAAAGCCGAAATCGAAGGCGGACATCGGTAGCAAATTATTATTCGGAGAACGACAATACAATAGAAGTGACATTTTATTCAGTTTATTTTATAATTCCCACTGTTTTAAAAAAACGATTTACGTAGAATATTGTCTTAGGTGTTTGACAAGGCTTTACATACATACCTTTACCTCTGTATATTGTAAGGAGGCAGATGGTTTCGGGTAATCAAATTCCTTATCCCAATTCCTCTGATATTTGCTCACTCACTCCATATCTTCCCAATTCGGTTGCTTCACTTCAGTTGTTTCCCTCAAATCCACAACATCAGCTGGTCTACTTCTGCCATTATCAAAGTATCATCATAAGCATCCTATTAACTAGGTATACACTTGGAAAAATTAATCTCAGAACTATTTTTTATATCTCTATTGAATTCAGAAATAAATAGCCATTTAAATTCTAGTTTTCAAGGACTTTAACTATTATTTTAAGTAAGGAATCATATGGGTTATATAAACCTCATATTCTCTACTTTAATTTAGATATTTACTTGCTCCGCTGATTTTAAAATATTTTTATAATTTAAGGCAAAACACATAAGCAACGTTAACTACATTTTTTTCTGAGTGCAACCGTCTGAGCCAGAGACTCTTCCCAACTAAGCCGTCTGGACAAATACTTTAATACCCACCATTCTGTATTCGGCAAAGCCTGCGGCATAAAAATGAAGAAATATGTTTTTTACGCCGGCGGCGGCGGCGGCGCGATTTCGTCCTTGGTCCTCGTTGTCCTCTACACAGGCACTCCAACAACTGTGCAAATAAGTAAAAAGTAATCCTAATTACAATTGTAAGTTATAAATAAACATGGACAACGGGAAAGTAGCTGCGGAGCCAACAATGGCCAAAACTGCGAATGCGAATCCTGACGACGTCATTGTAGTAATGAAAATCCCCAAGCAAGCCATAAAAGGGATAAACCTAACGAAACGAAACGAAATGAAATGAATGAAATTTTTCCCCGAGCTGTGAATGGTAACAGAGTAACAGATTTTTCAGCGTTAGTGCGAGGATAACTGACGGAAGGAGAGTCAGACGCTCAACGATGTGTGTACGACCTGTGCTGATTTTCGCATGTTGTTTTATATATACCTCTTATGTGGAAGGGTAGTTATGACCACTATCATATACACATGTCTAGGATTAAGGAATGAAAATTGATAATAGTACAACAAAGCTTTAGGGTAATGTCTTAGAGGAGCTCGATACTCAGATATAATACTAAACCTAATTTAAAGCAGAATTAAATTTGTAGGTGAAATACTTTTCAATATTTTAGAAAAGTTTAATACTATAGTAAGTGGAAACTTGTGATCCTTTGAAACTCTACTAACAATCTTATATACTTCCTTCTAGTTATAATGAGAAATCTACAACGCTAACTATTGTTTGTAATGGATGCATCTGCTTGGCCCTAAAGTATTTCGCAAACATTTGTTTGCTTATGGGTTTTAATAAAACAAATCGCTTAAATAGCTTAGCTCCCCTTTGATGGCATTCCATAATTACAAATGTCAGGCAGGGATGGACCGCGAGACAAATGGGAATGCAAGGGCGGCAGAAGCCCATTTTTGACAACCCATTCACCTCCGGTAACAAAGGCGGTAGAACCCTTTGGAACCCTTTTTGACTTCCACAAAGGATCAACTGCATTCGTCAACAATGGACGATGCAGGGAAACAATGCTATGCACGCGCTATGGGCTACCTGACAATGGGAAGGACGAATCGCCGCATAATCAATGCGTTGATCTGCACCCCTCGAAGGCCTCCTCCAGTCACGCTTTCTGCCCCCTGTGAAGCGTTAAATTGAAGCAATTTGACTGTTTATCGTTCATCGTCAGCCGGCGTCGTACACAATGCCCGGAGGATGCCCTATTTGCATGGGAACCGCCTAAAAACTAAGTAAAATGTCAAGTCGTCTGTGCCATCCGTCTGTAGGTGGCCACTGAAACTAATGCAATTCATGTGTTGACTGTTTCCCTTCGATCCGAGCGCTCCTCCTCGGCTCCATTGGGGTCTATCTGCCTTTTGTTTGTGTTTGCCCATGTCCTGACAAACGTCCTGTCTGTCAATTTGCATGTTACCTTGCATTTCTATCGCCATTGAATTGCCCCTCTCAACCCTCCTCGCTTCGTCCTGGAAGCTTATCAGCTGCAGCTTCCTGCCACACGTCCTTCCGTCCCTCCGTCCACCTGAGTGGGCGGGCACTTGTATTTGTTTATCTAACTATCAAAGTCCTGCGTGCTGCTTGCGTAACTCCAGATTCGAGTGTGTTAATTGCTGCCCATGCTCTCGGGGCCCTCTCACGCGCTTGTCCTTTGTGCAGTGCTAATATTTCCATTGATGTCCTAGGCTGCCTAATCCATTATTTAGTTTAACATCTCTGCTAAATGTGCAAAATCAGTCCCTAACACTTCCTCCTCTGCCTCGTCTTGCCATTCGTTTACACAAAATCTGCATTTGGTTTGATTTATTTTCCAGATTAGAGGTTAAGTAAATTCCAACTCAAAGCAAAGATGAGGTGAAAAGGACAAGACCGACAAAATTGGCCATTCAAGCGAACTTGCACCAGTGATTTCTCAAAAGGTTATTTAAATTCGACCAAACCAATGAACAAATAAACACTTTTTAGGTGTAAGTGTATTTTTATTATAATTAATGGTGCTATATTATTATTGGATTTGTATGTTTGTCCGATGGAATTTGAATCCAAGTTTATGTCAGTGATGAGACTGTACTGCTGGGATGATGAAAGCGTTTGAATGGTTGCCTTATTTCGTTTTCTCTTATTAATATTGTTTACTTGATATTGTTTCCTTTAGTGTATAGAATGCTAAGAGGGATAAATAATTAGGGCTACTGTAGGAACAGGGATCATTGGACTTACCTTGAGTGGGTAGGTGACAGATGGCTTCCTTTTTTCTAATGTTCCTTCTTATGTATGTCTTATATTGTTCTAGTCTTTTAATTCTAAGAGGGATCACTAGTTAAGGCTTTTGTAGGAATAGGACTTTTCGGTCTTACCGTGTTCGTTCAAAAACTTTATCTCTTCAATGGTGTGTTACTCAGATACTCTCCTGTCCTAATAGCCCAAAACTTAGAATTAGAATCTTAAAATAAAAAAGTATTCGAAATATTCTTACTTCTTTTTAGGTGGCCCCTTACTGCGAAATGAAAATATTTATCACTTTATGCTTACTGCTAGATGAAAATCTTTACAACTTTATGCTTAAACCTAGCCGAAAGATATTTTTATATAAATATAATATTTTTGTACTGAGCTGGGAGCTGTGCTCGCTCTAGAATTTGGAATTGAACTGAATATTTCGAGCAGCATTCATAGCCAAGTCAAATTTTGTGCCTATTAGAAAACCAAGGACTACTAGTTTTCTTATTTATAAAAAGTAAGCAAAGCAATTCTAAATTCTTTACCCTTGCAGTGAAAATCCATCATCAAAAATGCATTAATTTCCATTCTGAAAGATCTTCTGTGTTAGTTTTCGTTGGATTGATAAATATTCACACTAAATATAATTAAAAATTCGGTGATTCGGTATAATTCAGCTCCCGGAAGCTAGGAACTATCTTTTGTATTAGATTAATATAAATAAACGAAGATGAATATCTCCTCTTCATAATTTCTTATATTTGGTATGGTAACATCAAGGGCTGGAGCGTATCTTCAGAGTGTCTATGATGGTGATTGATTACTTCTGTTCGCTAAAAAACGTCTATAATAATTTTTACCCCTACTGCAATTTAAATTCATTCGACGCACTTAGTGTCACCCCCTTGGGTGTTTCGGCAATAATTGTAATTTTTATCTATAATAATATCACGCGAGTTTAGCACGCTTCACGCCCTCCAAGTTTGTCCCATTGACAGATAAAATGGCCCTCGAGTTGTCAGCTGTCCAAAACACACAATGAGAGCTGGACAAACCCTTTTTGGCAAATGTTTTCCGAAGGTTCACGTAATGCGATAAATAAAGTCATTCAGGGCGACGATAAACGACAACGAGCGTTACAAATTGAAAGCCTGTAAAATGAACAACGGACACAAGCCCGAACAGTGCAATCAAAATAAATAAAGTAGAATAAAATCAAATAAAATCGTTCAACACTCAGCTTTTGGGTGGCAACTGACAGAGCTGACAGACAATGCGGCGAATTGAGAGAACTTTTCACGCATTTCCACAAAAAGGCCCCAAAAGCCAAGGGCAAAAGAACGAGCAGAGGCAAATGAACAGATTGCCATCTTTTTATTTTCCCATCTCCGTAAATGGCTTTCAACTAATTTTGCAGCGAATGTTTGACAGGTGAGACAGCTGGAATGACCCACAAAATGAATGGATGTCAGTCAGTGCGTCAGCCCTTCATCCATCCATCCATTCATCCATCCATCGCTCTCCGGTGCCAAACAATCGAAAGTGTCAATTAAAAGGCGGCCAAGTATTTGGGCTGTCCCCGACTGTGAAAGGCTGAAAATTTTATTATACCCTTCCAAAGGGTAGATTACATAGGACTAAAAGGGAGGAAATATATATTTGATGCTTTTAAATATTTACGTATACGTGATATTAGTCAGCATTTAACTACAAATCTTTATAAAGCTTCTGCTTCTGTTGATTCCAGCTAGACATAAGTTCCAAATTCAGTATATATTTTATATGCTATATTATTGAAGAGTACACAATCGTCGGTTTGCTGTATTGCCTTCATTCTTGTTATTTTATTATATTTGATTTAAGCGTTTCGAAAAGCATTCACACCGAGAGATCCCAGACCTCCCAAACCACCCTCGACAGCGTCAGTCGTCGATTTGCGGTCAGCGCCGTAATAATGTTATTTTCGATTTTCGCTCCGAATCTGAATCGGAATCGGAATTGGCGTGGAATTAAAGCAGATGTCAAATGAGCGGTCATTGATCCATCCGCACTGGAGGCATATCGTGCAGGAGGGCAAGTGCTCTGATTAAAGTCTTGGGGGACCGAAAAGGCCTTCTGGACTATGTAAACAGTAACTTATGTTGAACTTCCTAGGAAGGTCCCAAAGGATACTGTTCCGTCTCCCTTCGGCAGATCAATGAATTGGAGTTTACCAGTTTTACGCTAACCATAGTCTTAACATACCTCCATTGTTTACACTCACTCCGTTGATGGGTATGTGTTTATCTTGGAGAAGTATTTCTGTTTACTTAATGCCTCAAAAATATCCCAGCCTTGACAATGTTGAGACTTCGATTGCTTTGAAGTAAAACATCTCGATGAAAAGGCATTGCCCCCCTCAAGGAAATACAATACAGGGAATGTGTCACAGATAGTTATACAGTAGATCAAACTATCTCCTTTTATAAACAAAACTGCATGCACAGAACTGCATGTCTTAAAATTCTGTATATATTAAAAATAATTCCTATTCAATGCCTATTAGGTATAAAAGTAGATATCCCGCCCGCAACCTAGCTTTTTTATTATTTTAACTCACTTACACAACTTTCATTGCCCATCTGTTTAAGGTCAATTCAGCCATTGTTCGTTTTTGTTTCGTTTCGTACAATTAAAATTGCTTTCGATTATAGATGCCATAATTAATGTGCAATAAAAGAATTAAATCAGTTTTGCTGTTTAAATAATTGAATACTATATATTTGCCTTCGAAAAATGTACACACAATAAATGCATTTAAATTAATTTAGAAATTAAACTAGTATGGAAATCAACTGACAAAGCACACCGCAAAAAAAGATAACTTTAATGTTTTTTGCCGTGATTTCCAAAAGAACGGATAACCATTACATTAGTATATAATTTTTTTACAGTATACTCTTATTAATTTTTACAAAATGTATGTTTAACTTAATCTCTAACCGATTAATTTCGATTTTACGTTATATTAATTTACACAAGTCTTGTAGGTAGGTTCGTGATTTGTTTTTGATTGATAGTGTTGTTTTTAGTGGCGGAAAGTGTGCTTTTTGTAGTGTTGCCTTGTTGCATGTTGCATGTTGCATGTTGAAAGTTGCTTGTTGAGTGTGTGGATCGGGGGGGCCAGCTTCGGCAACCGTTTAGTACAAAGGAAAGTTGGAAAGTGAAGAATTTGTGCAGAAAGTCAAGGAATACAAACAGACATATCTCGGAGCCTAATACTTTAATACTTTAAATATTCTTGTAACTTTTCTCTTATAGCTCGTTAATTCGTTAATCTTTTTTTGTTTTCATTTTGGTAACTATCTTAATTTTTTGTTAAAAACTTTCGAAAAAGATTGCACAAACATTTTAAATATTTTGTCCGTGTGTGTGTGGGGGTGTGATTGTGGGTGTGGGTGTGTATGTGCCTGCTTTGTTTCCTTATTTGTTCTACTGTTTTAACTACGATTTGCCGTGTAAGTTTGTTTGCTGCTGAGTGTCTCGACTGGTTTACCCTTTAATGCTATTTCCAACTCTCGCCTATGGTTGCCTATTTTCCTGGTTTTATAAAATGCCGCCAGTCGCAGCTGCTGCTTTATTAAACTACTATGAAGCTACTACGTTTAACTCTTAGTACGTTTTTCTGGTGATACTTATGCGCATTAAACTAAAAAGGAACATATACATGATTATCCATTAATATTAATTATAAATACGTTTTGTTTCGATTTAAATATTCATAGTGCTTGCATTTATAGTCAGAGTCATTTGTTAGCGGGTAGTACGTTTCCATAAATTAAGGTTAGCATTAAGAACTGAATACTCGCGTCTTGCGGGCCTATAAGTAGTTGCATATTGAATCACAAATCATTGATGAAAACTTCATTTTACTTGGTTTTAGGCGACGTCGCTCTGCACGCAATCTTGGTCCGTTAAATTCCGTTTCAATTTTATCATCATCATCATTATCTTCACACCTCGTTCGACCGTCTCTCCCCTAGGTAACTTTGCTAGACGCGGCGCTTCCATCTATTTAGCAAACAATCTATGTATCTCGACGATACCTCTCCTAGATTATACACAGAAATTTACAGTGGGGTTTTCGGTAGTGGGGCATATGAGTGTAGGCGTGTTTGGGGCTGGGTCTAGATAGATAGTTCGGGGCAGGTTCACAGGCATGTACAGTTAGCTTGCAGATGTTCAGTGTTCTTCTCGAAAAGGTACTACAAATCAGTTGAACTTTATATGCTAGTTATTCGTATCGCTACTACCATTACTCATTACTCGTTACTCATTACAATATTTATTTATTACCTTTCTTTCGTTTTATAAACAAACTATGTGGCTAAATTCTAAACCTTAAATTCGTCTTAATATTTTCTTTGCTCGTGTGCTTTTCTTGCTCGAGAGTTCGTCGTGAGTTGCCTAAGTTGCTTCCGGGGGCTCTTCATTAAAATTCAGCTTGCTTACTATCATATGCATGTGGTTCACTACCGATCGATTCCTAAACTCGGATATTTACAGGATGCTCCGGACACCATCTCCTTCCATCACCACCGCTACTTCGTTGGCATTATTTCGACTCTACTCTATAAATGATTGGGTAAGCGACTTGGTTACATTTCGATTCTTTTCGTTTCTCGTTTGCTCAGTGGGTTTAAGTGTTTGCGACGCTTTGTTTGCATTGCTTGCCGTCCCTCCGAACTCTTTGCAATTTGGGGAATGGGTCCAGCTTGGTGTATCTAACCGCTGCATAGAGTCCTTTTCCTGGTTGCTGTTGCGTTTTCATTTTGAGTTCAGTGTAGGGTTTTATAGCTGCATATGAGAGATGAAGAAAGTACCAAAGATGGGGTTAATTGGAGATATAAGAATATCATTTTCACTATAGTTATATTAGCGTTATTAGGTACTTTGAAGTCTAGCAATAGTTTGTTTTCACTACGAAAGCTAAGTACTACTTTAGATAGATAGATATACCATGACATCTTACCTCAAATCCATTCAATATGGGGCTTTCATCAATGATACCACAGCCTGTTGTTTTGTGCCCTCATGGCACCGTTCGCCATTCCAGTGCTTCCGTTTCCGGACTTCGTCATGTTGCTCGAAGCCTCGCCGTTGGCAGTCGCTGACTTTGCACCGGCCTTCAGGTGCACGCCCACCGCCTCCTCGGCGGGCGATAGTCCTGTTCCGCCGTTGTGCCGCCGGTAGTCTGCCGCCTCAGCTGCTCCACCTGCTCCGCCCGGTTCGCCAGCCTCCCTCATCAGGCGCAGGGCCTTGAGGTGTTGCCGCTGCTGGTGACCTTCACGCAGAGTCGCTGCTTGCGGATTCTTGCCACCTCCTTGGGCATGCTTGTTGTTGTGCAGGGTCAGGCTGTATTTGGGCTTGCTACCGTTGCCGTTGCCATTGCCATTGCCATTGCCACTGACGCTACCGCCAGCCACGCTGCTGGCCAGGCTCAGGTGCTGCGGCTTCTTCGGCATGGTGGTGCTACCGGCGGGAGTCCGCTTTGGCACAAGACCGGACTCAACGCCGCCGCCCGCCGCGGCCACCAACTTCAGCGAGGCTTCGAACTAGAGGTTGTCGGGATAGCTGCGAAAGTTGTATGTCCTGGCCCGCTGGAACTCGGCAGCAGCTGCCGCAGCGGCCGCCGCCGAGCTGTTCCCGGTGCTGTATGGATTGATCATGGGAGCGGTGGACTGGGAGTTCATGGTGCCCATGCCGTCGTCATAGATGCCGCTGTGCTCCTGTCCGCTGTTGTGGCTGTGGCTGCTCTTGCCGCCGCCGCTGCTCACGGTGTTGGTGTTGCTGCTGCTCCCGGCGCTGCGCTCCGAGCCGGGTCCCTTGAGCGGCTTAAAGATGGCAGTGGTGGCATAGTACTTCTCCATGGGCGGTGGCGGCACAGTCGGCGGTCGGGGGAAAATGCTGCTTAGCGGCGGCGGTGGAGTGCGGCGCACGTTCACATAACCACCGGGTCCACCGGGGCCACCCACTTTCGACGAGGGCAGGTAGTCCTGCATGTGGGGCACGGCATAACCACCTTCCGGCACATCTGGGGAGAAACAAGGGCGAGAGGAGGCGGTGCTTAGTCAGGGGAAAATGCCACAAGATGTATATTTGCATTAGTGGCCGGCGTCGCCATATTTTACGGCTCTCCGCGCGCCAGCCACCGGAAATGCGACGAAGGATTTACCGAGCTCGGTTGGTGGTTAAGGGAATTCAGGGGAATTGCAAGGAGTATATATATATAGGTATACACACCTGTGTAGTCGGGCGTCATATTACATTGTAAATCATTAACCGCGGCGTAGCCATTCACGCCACTGGTGTACATATTCACATTGAAGGGTTCGTGGTAGAGACTGTTCTTGCCAATCGAGTCGTTATCGTCCACGCTGGCCTGAAGGGGGAAAAATAGGTTGCAATGGAAATAAGTTGGGTGCTTTAAAATACGTTATGTAACACTGCATTTAATGTAATAATGTAATAATTAGATCTATTTAGAAGTAATCCCAAACCTATGGTCCTACTAAATCATGCTTTCCTCGCACTCGTTTAATTTGAGATTCGCCGAACAAATCCTTTATCTTAACTCAATCTGTTGCATCGACTTCAATCTGTATAGTTTCTGGGGAAAATCGTTGTTCTCTTCCTCTCTCTCACCACTGTAGCACTCAAGTTTTCTGCAGACAAAACTCAGTATTTCCACTCGAGAAAAACTTCTTTAATCCAATTTCGCCGCAGGACTCGGCCCAGTCTCCTCCACCTTAAGTTGGTCGAACTTTAAAGTTTCTCTTTTGCTGCACACTCGGACCTCTGGGCACTTAAGCCTGACCCCCACAAATCAACAGAGCACACTCGCACACTGGCACACACACATACTCGAGGACGACAAACGGCCGGAGTCGGGCGTTGAAAAGTCCCATTAAATAAATGCCGGACGGACAGACGGACGGACGGATGGACGGATGGAGGGTGCCTCACGTAGGACTAAGCAGTGTGGAAACTCCACGCTACATTGAACAATTATGTGGAAATGCGAGGCAGGAATTTGCCGTCCCCCACGCTACGCACACGTATCCCCCATCGTGTCCTGGGTACCCCACCGTCGCCTGAAAGTCACGTCACAGTCACCCATTACCCAATACCCCCGTTACCCATTACCCACTGCCCACTCACCTTGATGCTGGTGCCATTGGGACGATGCTTGTCCACATTGCCGCCGAGGGTGTTCGGGTTGAAGCTGTACTGGAACGCGTCGAGGACATTGCTGCCGCGGGCGCGCTTCGTTCGCGAGACTATGAACAGGATGATGGCCACCAGCAGGATGATAATCGTGGTCAGGACCACGATGACCACGCCGATGAAGTTGGCGTCGTTCGGCTCCTGATCGATGGGGCGTGGCGCAATTACTGCAAGGGAAGCGGAAAAGAGCAAAGGCAAATTGAAATTTAAATTAACAAACGCGGGCGTCGAAACGAAATTAAATGTAAATATTGTTCAACTAAATAATTAGCCAACGTTCGAAGACTTGAAAAAACAAGAGGCCCGCCAATCGGGGGCCTTTTTGAGCATGAATGTAAATGTGAATGTGAATGTAAATGTGATGAGTTAATTGGATTTATCATTCATTCGTTCGTTTGGCTACTCACATTGCGGTCCGTTGTTGTATTTGCTGTTGCCGCCGGACTCGCCGTCCGCGGTGACCACGCCTCCTCCAGGACCTCCGGGCGAGTTGCCTCCTCCGTTGGGCTTATTCTTGCCATGATTGTGCTGATACTCGTTGCTCTGCAGCGGATACTCGCGAGTGTCCTGCGCCAGTCCGGGCGAGTTGCTCCTCTGCTCCTGCTCGTCTGTGAAATTTCCCAGGGCGGGCACTGAAAAATGGATACAGAAACAGAGACACAGGGGAACGGGTTAGATTAAAATTCACTCTTCACTCTCCACTATCCACTATCCAAGAAGCTTTCATTCTCAGAAGTTGCCGCGCACAGCTGCGCTTCAATGATTAGTTTTTTCCAGTGCCGGCTCCCTTTCTTTGCACCTTTCGTTCCGCCTTAAATTGTTTTTCTTTCGCCACGCTTTTCCTTTCGTATTACTTATGGACTATAACGTGTTCATTTCCCTTTATCCCCCCAGCCAGGCCCAACGGATATGGTCTCTGAGGACCGGGCAGATGTCTGATTTGATTTCAGGGGCGTCACTGCGAAGCGCGTGTCTTCTGAATATGCATAGAGTTTCCTTTTTTTAATGATTTCGAAATGGTTGATCGGAGGAAGAGGAAACCCTACATCTTGGGTGAGCATTTATTACAGCAGTTACGCTCAGTCGAGCTAATCGAATTAGTTAACCTTGAGCAGGAAAAAACCGTGCACATTAAAGGTTTTCTTACATGAAATTGTATCACTAGGAGGAAAGGAAATCTTTTACCTTATGCCTAGCATATGTTGTGCCAAGATTATCACCTTGATATCAGATATTATTACATTTTCCTAGCATACTATCATATCTTCCATACCTATTCTATCATCCCCACAACTCTGTTATCCTTGGGCTTCAAAACGTCTCTCGGGTATGGCCTTTGGCCCTGGCTTAGACTGATTATTAGCTAAGACCCTGGGAACACCTGTCCGTTCGTTCGTTCGTTCGTCCATTCGCAACGCTCGGTGAGAGCTCGCTTTGATCTCGAAATAATGCCATCCCGGCTTATCTGGGTCCAGAGTCTGCTGCCACTGCGGCATATGGCCCAGTGCTACGGCAAAGTGTTGTCATTTATCTCGCCAACATCTTGAAGGCATAACAAAGCGAAATGTTTCGGGGTGGGTCCTACTTTTTGTCCTCCCCCTCAGAGCCTTTCTCGAAGTGCCCGGGGCTGGCCAAAAAACGTTTCCTCGAGTGGGTGACCCCGTTTCTTCAGACAGTAAATGGCGTAATTACTGTGTGAAGTTCTTGGCGACTCGCCGAGAAGGAAGAGGATGCGACGGCACGGAGGCACAGAGGTACAGAGGCACGAAGAGCTGAGTGGAGGAGTTGAGGCTGCTGTTTTGAGTTATGTCCCTGCTCCTTAGACAGAACGGGATGGGATATAATGGGATGGGTTTGGTGGCTTTTGTTTCGACATTGCCATTGTCCTTCGGGTGGCTGGGTTTTTTCCCGTGCGCTTTCCTCCGGCAAAACGGGAGTATCTCGCTCCCATCGCCCGAGTGCGCTCTGTGGTCGCCATAAAACGTTTAAAATAATTAAAATATTTCGTGCCACATTTATCACACATCTAGAGGGAGGGACTCTAAGGGGTAATGGTGAATATACCGCATATCCTTTGCCACAGTTCGCAGATCTCGCCGTTGTTGTCGCTTGCCATTTATAACTAATTCTCTTTGTGTGTCCCTAGGGCTTTTCTCTAGTCCGGTCATTATACCCTGGCATAAGGGTTTATTATATAGAGGGTATATGTTTAAGTCAACTTTCTTGATCTTTAAGAGATATATTTTTCAGGCTTCAATCTGCTTCAGATTATAATACTACGTTAAAATGATCATAATAGTTTATCTCTGATAAAATTTTCATTACTTAATTGCCTTTAGAAAAGGATTAGTTTATCTCATAGCAAGCAGTATATATAATATACTTTTGTTTAAAAGACAACTGACTAAAAACCGACTTCAAATCCTATATAAATCTCTTCTGAACTATGTCAATTGAAGGGTATTTTGGGCTTCGGTCCCCTAAGCTAACCCTCCATTGTTGTTCTTGGCCATTGTATTTTTAGAGACCTTTAAAAACGTGTATGGCACTGTGACGACAACGACAGCAATCACCGCGAGCAAATCTCACAAATTGGGGTTAAATCTGTATACACTCGCACAGTGCCTGATAAAAATATACGCATACACTCGAAAGATGCGGCTCTGCCTGCCGTTTTGAACGTGCGTTTCTTTTGTTTACCCTTACCCATACCCTTACCAGCTCTTTGAGGCCTTCGCTCGAGTGGCACACAGCATAAAAAAGTATAAAAAACAGCTGGTTGCCACTGGGGTTCCTCCTTGCCTCCACCTCCACCCCCCAGAGCATAGTATTCCCCGCCCTGACATCCTCCTATATAGTGTATATATCCCATCCCACCCCATCCCATCTCGGCTTGTGTGCGTGACAAATGCTTCGTGGCGATGTTTTCTGTTTCTGGTTTCTTGCTCGTCATGTAATTGCTGCCAGGGAAGCGGGACACACAGCATGGGAGTTTTTTGGTTTATTGTGGTTTCGTTTTTGGTTATCCTTGCTTCTTGCTGCCCGCTTTGTTTGAACTTTTTTCTGCCTTGTAATGCTTGCGGCAAACTATTCAGGACTACTGATCGTCAGTTGAGTGCTATTCATCTCCCGTCTGGGTTCACACGAAATCCTTAAGAGCACTTTGGTAAGGATGCGAAGTAAGAACAAAGATCTTGAAGAATTCTGATAGCTTTATTATGTGAAGGTTCCCTTAGCCATAATTGTTTGAGATTTCCTGTAACACAGGGTTTCTGTGTTCTTTACTTTATATAGTCTTCCTATGTTCCTGCTCTAATTGACCTATAAAATCTCTGTTGCATTCGATTTATGATCAACTTCCCTTTATAAAACTATTAAACCAAGGATTTCCCTCCCTGTTTTGAGTCCCTCTACCATCTGCCCGGAAAATGGAATCCCTCTTTCGGTTGATATTCATACGGCACGCTCTATTTGACTCATCAATCAATTCTGCCTGTCAGGGGACTTTATCCCTTAGTCTGATTTGACACCTATAATTTTCAGGGGGGACTTCGCCGCGGAAATCCCAATGAATATAAAAGATCCTTGGTTCACAGCCGATCTGGCAATTTGTACGCAGAAACTAGGGGAAGAACAGCTGGAAAGTCTAAACATGTTCCGGGATTGAGACTGAGCCTTGCACTTGGTTCAATTTAATCAGGACATGTCAGGACATTCATAGGAAGTGTGCTGGGAAGTGCAATGCCATGCTGCCTTGCTGGCTTACAGTTATTCAGGGGTTCAGGGATATATCCCTACCCCTGGAGTCACAAATTGTTTACATTAAGCAAGGGAGAGAATGAAGGGGCCTTGGGTATTCTATTGACTTTATATTTTTTCCAACCAGAGCCGGATTTTCTCCTCTGACCGTTTATCTCTCGGCTGTCCCGGGTGGAAACACCCCTCCGTCCTACCTCATCCGGCATTGTTGTTAGCCAAAATGTTGGAAAAAGGTTTTATCCCCCTGTTAAGTGTAATGCATTGCTTCCCCAGTGCACCAGCGCACTCGAGAGTGAAATGAAGCTGAAAAATGCATTTGTACGTATGCAATTCCACTTCCTCCGGCTTGAGTTACTCGCTCATTCACATTTCTCGCATGGCAAATGCAATTTTCTGGCAATTTTATTCATCTCGTCGTCCTGGCTTCGCTCACGTACTACTCACCGGATATAAAGCTGATCTCCGATAGCATAATCCATTTGACGGCAAAGTACAAATTGATTTTCAAATATTTGCCAACCCGATGGTGCAGCTTAATGGTCACATCCCGGGCATGATCCATTATAGTGTCGGGCATATATGAGAACTGTACGGGTTCTCCCGAGAAGTAACGTCCGCCGATACTAAAGAATACCTTGGCATGGACAAAGACCTGAAAGGATAAAAAAGGAATTAGTACAGTGGGGTTAATGGATAGGAATAAGACACAGCTTTATCCAAGTTGACAAGCAAACTAATTTCACAATAAATCAATAGGGATTTTGTATATTTCATTGTTTATTTCCTTACAAATCCCTTGAATAAATATTGATTTCTTTGCTTTTTGTTTTTTAAAACCTTTTGCAACCACCAATCTGACTGTAACCCTTTGATAGCGATAGGGATGGGCACTCACCTGGACATCCTTGGTGAACATATTGTTCGTGTGCAGCACGATGGCACTGAAATTGCGAACCGTATCAAATTCAAAGACGATTTCCACCGGCTTGCCGAGCAGGCCCGGGGTATCATTCCGCCAGCCAATCCATTCATAACCTGAAACGAATAAAAAACCATCAGAATGAAATGAAATGAACATTTCATATGTCCGTCCGCCTGCCCGCAGTCGGGGGAAAATCAATAGAGCAGCCCTGTGGAGGAGGACTGACATGTAAAGCTATTTAAGCCTCCCTTTCTGGCAGCCCAATGGCACATTTGGGAGTGAAGTTTCCCCAAATGCCCGAAAACAAATAAATGCTCACGGCAGGCGCTCGGGGCTCGACGGCCTGGGCCTTGGTCTGGGTTTGGGTTTGGGCATGGTTTTTGGGCGGGGCTAGACTCCGCATAACTAGAAATTATGGCCAATGCGACATTTAAGCCACTTTTTCTGCTGCTGCTTTGTTTGCATGGCCCTAATTTCGGTGGGGACCGGCGTCCGTGGGAGCTTACATACAGAGAACGAGGAGAGGGTTCTCCCCTGCATAAGTCATGCAATATTAACTGGCAACCACTAAGGCCGCCATGTGGTTATATGGGGCTGGCAAACAAGCTGTAAGCAGAAATTATACGCCCCAGACCGCTCCGATATTGATTCCACTTACAATGCAAATAAGCCGAGGACCAAGAAGGCCAAAAAAGGAAGCGATATGGGGCGATATGGTCGGGAATCCGACAATCCGAGAATCGAAATTATGCGCCGGAAACTTTCCCCATGATCGCATTGCATTGCTTTTCCGATTACGACTTGCGACTCCGTCTCGACTCGACTTTGCGACCGGGATGTCTAATTGTCTGACCGAACTTTTGCTCCTGCGTAAAGTTTTCAATAATTTCGATTATTGGCCATTTGCCAAATCCTCCAAAGAGAGGACTGCAGCAAGGCGATGAAAATGTGCGAAATGGCAAAAAATAAACTGGCGAGCTTTGCAAATTCCTCCAACTTTTGCAGCCGCTGGGGCGGAAATGAATGCCAGTGTTGCCATAAATTATCAAATATGCATAATGTTTACATTTTTACACTGGCAACGAGGAGCAACGGGGAGAGTGGCGCGGAACTGACTGCCATGGAGCTCTTTGGTCGGTATCCGGGCAAGTTTTACTGCGACGCCAGCAAATAGTCCAAAGTTATTATTATTTTTGTTTATAGTGTTGTGCTGGCGAATTATTTGCGAAAGCCAAAAACTTTTCTCCCTCCTCCATCCGCGCCATCGATGTTCAATGAAGTGAGCATTCGGCGAGCGGAATGGGGTCAGACATTGCTTGCGCTTGCCTTATGCTTTTTCCGTCGGCGAACTTTTGTAATTATTTGATATTAATCAGTTTTTCTATTGCCATAAATCTAGATGGGCCTGCACGGGCCCCCAAAAATATATGGTCGAAGTTTGGGCTTTTAGGGCCAAACCTTTTAACACGAACTTTGCATGCAGGAAGCTGTTGGCCCAACTGCAGCTGGATTATAGTTAAGGATATATGTATGAAATTTAGAAGCTAGTGAAAACGAAAGCAGGAGCATTCTTTAAGTTAATATTTTCAATATACAATCTCACTTACCTTTGCCAAATCCATGGATGTCCGTGCGGAAGTTATCCTTGCCCTTCTGCCCATCAACCAACTGGCCAAGTCCGTCCACAAAGCGATCGCCCTGCTCATTGCCATCGTAGGTCTTGTCCGAGAGATCCACCTCCATGCCGCGTTGGACGCCCTTGGGAATGCTGTATGACATGATGCCCTCTGCAAATGGAAAGCGGTAAAGAGAAGGTTGGGAAATTGAAAATCCATTGAAATTTAGTGCGTCGATTCGGGGAACTGAAACAGAGACCTTAACCCCAAAAATAACGAAACATGAGACAGGGAACAAGGAGGAGGAGGTGGAGGAGGAGGATCGAGGGAGCAGGAGGAACTGGTGGGTCGGGACACACATGCACACACACGTCATGTCACGTCACGTTCCATGTCACGTGATGCAGACAAACGACTGACAAAATGCAGAGTTTTGTGGCCTTATATGGAAACACTGAGGGAAAATTGTAAGCAAAAGAGTTGCTTATATTCCTTATTTAATAATATATACTTGTAGAACTATATATCATTATATCAAACTGGGAGAGTGTAATATACAAGTAACTAAACATTGAAATATAAAACCAGAACCGGAAGTAGCCTGCTTTATATTTCAGTGTAACAACAGCTCCCTCCTGTTTCGTGAATGGTATTTAAACTGCGGTAAATTTAAAGTTTCCCCTCTCTATCCTTCCCCTAATCCGAAGCGGAACAACTTAGTTCACAGAGTGTGGGAGGGAGGGAGACAATGGCCGAAAGGGATAGAGATAGAGACAGCGTTGGAGGACATTGAGTTACTGGAAACATAATTTCGTTTTGCGGGTACCTCAGCTCCCTGCCATTTGCCATTCGGTTTCCGTGGTTATTTTTAGCACAAAATCGAAAGGGGGAATGGAACTTTTTGGGGTATAGTTTTTCAATGTCAAAGTTAAACGTTTTCCAAGGGGGCGCCAAAGCTGATTGTGAGTCATGTTTTTGTGGGTGTGCCACACCAAGTATTTTGATATTTTTTGTGGTAAGTTTCTGGGGGATTAGGGGGTAGCGACTGCCCAGGAAATCCAAAAAGTCAGTGGGCCAGTCAATGCTTAAGTCCATCCCCAAATCCCACCAATCTGACGGCGGCAGGCAAACACCTGACTCTAATTACCCAACTGAGCACCCTTCCAGCACCACTCTCCGTCCCCGAAAACAATTACACTTGGACTCGGAAAAAGGGAAAAACAACAACAGCGTTGCCAGGCACTCAATATAATTGTGCCTAATGGTAGGGGTTCAGGATAACGGGGGCAACCCGAGCACACGTTTAACTAATTCACCAAAATTTCTATTTACACAATCGGGGCACGTGGTGTCCTGCCACCACACCACACAGGACTGACAACAGTCGAAGGAATGCTCCAATAATTACCAAAAATCACATAATTACACATAATTAAGGGACTCCCGTGGCCGTGCACGAAATGGAACCGAATCCCACGCACTGGACGCAGATAATGTAGATAATGATGATGAGGCCACGGCGCTCAGGTGGGCAAATGACAGTTATCGATCACGCGAGTGGGCGGGTCCTTCGATTGAAAATATTAATTATTATTCAAGGCACTCCATGCAGGACGAACCGACCGCGTTTAATTACATGAATTACGGCGGACACAGAGTGTGGGGGGGATACGGGCAGAGAGATAAGTCCTCCGACACGATATTAAACCGACTGTAAGCGCTATATGGCATATTTAATTAACTGCAAAGACATTTAAGGCAGCGCGTTTTACAATTGCCCCGCTGTGGCAACACACACACACATGACTCTGGGGGCACCGTGGGGTTAACTGGGGGACAACACACTCCCTGCCCCCCCAAATGTCTGTCTGCTTTGTTATTCGCGTGCCTGCATGCGATCATTATTTGCGTGTCGCGACAGTCTGAAACGGTTCCTCCGGCTGCCGAAAAATGAGCAAAATAAGAGCAGAGTCCTTGGTGGAGTGCGTGGAGCAGCAAACTGCAATACATAAAATGTAATTTTCCTCCATTTTCAAAAGGCGACGGCACGCAAGCCAACGACAGCGACAACAATGTCGACGCGCTTTTTGTTGATGAGTCAAAGTGAGGAGGAGTCTCAGGATGGGTTCTCCCTTGATGGAACTCGTAACAGGGACAGCGACTGGTAGATAAACTAAAATGTGGACAAAACAAAACACTTTTCGAAGTTTCCCAATCTCGAGACCATTTCACACTCTCGCTATATGTAGAGACTCCCACCTGGCGCTTTCGACTTTCAGTTTCCCAACCTCAAAGCCCGACTTCTTCAGTGAGCCGAAAGCGTCGACACAACGCCCAGAGTGCGCTCGAACTAATGCCCCTAAAATACCCATAAATTACTGGCCCTGAATACCAGTGGGTGCCATAAATCCCCGGCTTAGTGCTAATCAGTTGCTGCATTTATAATGCACTCCACATCCAGAGCTCCGTCCGATTCTTGCTGGTTCGATTCCAAGGGCTTAGCCGTTGGTAAATCGTATCAAGCCCGAGTTTAGCTACGCTTTTGAAATCACAGTCGGAGATAATCTCCGGCCCGAGCCCTATTGGGTTACATTGCCAGCTAGTGTGCTGGGTGCGGCCCCATTTGTCCCTTTTGCCCCGTAGGTGCACCCAGATCGATTCGAATTCAAATGACGCCGGTGGCCAAAATTTATGGCCACAATCTATAAACAATTATGATTCGATTCTTGGCTCTTTCAAGGGGGATTAATGATCGGAATAAGGCCAAAATGAAATCGACGCGGCCATATAAATGGGATTTATTGATTCGCCCCTCGCCCACAGTCTGCCACTTGTCTAGACCCATCCGCCATCCGACATCCATTGGAGCCACTATTGCCCAACTGTGGGCACCATCTTATCTTGTTTAATTTGCATATGAAATGCGCCATGTCGAGTCCCGAGTCCCCCATATTCCCCGTGGCAAATCAAATGACATGGCCGCAAAATGTGAGCGGTCAGCAGTTTGCATGCCTTGCAACCCCAAAATCCTTCCTCCCCCCTCTGTTCTGGCCAGGAGAGGCGTGCCATAGTTCTGGGCGCGACTCCAGGCCCCACGGTTCCCAGAAACCCTGCCCAAGCTCTGCGTTAATTTACAGAATAATGTTCAACTTCCGCGCCCCTGCCTCTCCTGGCTTTAGCTCCCCAGAGTCCCTGCACTACAAATTGTCATTAGGCGCGTTTTGCTGACTGGATTTGTGTGTTATCGCTGCCAGCGAGACCCTCTCCAGTCCACCTATGGAAATTATAGAAAAATTTGTTTGTTCAGACTTGTTCCTGGCTCGTGCACTACTTGAAAATTGCGTGCAAACATCGACAACGTCAGAGTCGAGCAGCACAAAAGACCCAGGCCAGGTTGCTACAATACACTGAGAGAAAGAATGTGATTTATAGAGGCTACTTCTTCAGCTCTATATACAAGACATGTGCTGATTCTTTGTTCCCAGTGTAGAATGTTGGTTTTCCGTTTCCCAGCTCTTTCAGACTGCACATAGTTTTCAGCCTGTCCGGCTTATCGTCGTCTGGGATTTCGATTTCGGTCAAGTCCCGGCCAGAGCTTGAATATGGGTATGGTATGAGATGTGTTTCCACTGTCTGCACGCGATATATTTCAAGTACAAGAGGAGAACTCGACAAGCCAAAGCCAAGGTGCGTGGCAAGAAACCCAGAAATGTGCTACAGTTCTGCAGAGAGGAGAAGCATTATGTTTTGGGGGAGCTTTATGGCGGGGTCTCTAAACATGGGTGCAGCAGTCAAGTAATCTGGTATAAAGAACTCATCCTAAAACTCTTTACTGGTTGGGTACCCCCTAAAGAAACCTTCTAACTATGACTATACTTGTGTTTTACATAATTCTACCATCTGTATTGAAGTTATTTTTTTATTTACCTAACCAGGTTAATTCCAAGTCCCCGAATATGCCATTTTAAGGCAGGTAAAACTCTTTAAGACTTGCATTCGAGGTATTTAGAGTACTCCAGTATCGCTCATGGCGAGTCGTGCGAGCACTTAAGCCGCTTTTGCCGCCTCTAATGGCAAACAGAATGCCTCCTCGGAGCGGGATGATAAATTAGCGCTGACACTAAAACCCTGTTAGCCTCTCCGCACTATCATTGCTCATGTTGGGGCTTTAATCGCACTAGGATAGTTGCCCCTCAACCCATTCTACCCGCTGTACTCACCTTCCCAGGGACAGCCGACGATCTCGGCCCGCAGACAGACGGTGCGGTCGTACTGGCCATAAGGATAGATGCGTATCTTCGAGGCGAAGATGATCGGCTGCAGGGCATTCTCCACCTCGCTGTATGTGTTAATGTTGGCTGGAAGAATCTGCAAAAGAGTTGGGTTAGTTGGGGCTAACTTCGCAGCTTTACCTGCTGACACTTACCTCCTTGCCCTGGATATTCTTCCAGCGCTGCCACTTGTCGAAACCCGGCCGCCAGTACTCCAAGACATAGGCCTCGGTGTACTCCTGGCCCTGTCCTTTGCCGAATCTGCCCTGGGTGCGGATGGCGGTGATGACATGCGTCTGGAGTAGATCCACCTGCAGATACTCCTTGAGCGCGTTCGAGACCATGTGCTTGGGGCACCAGGCACCGCCATTATTATCGGTTTTCAGTCTGCAATGGGAGAGAAGGTTTGGGGAGGACTTTATTAATTAGGCTCCATCAACGGTAGCGGCGAAAACCAGTTGCATGGCCCCGTCGCCGATACATTTCTTATGAATTAATTGACACTAAGCGTACGGCACCGCACGGAGCCCCACCATATCGAACCCCAAACCCAGGCCCCAACCCCGCAGTTTGTGGTGCGCCGTCTGGCAGCCCGTCTCGTTCGTTAAGCTGTTTGCGGTTTTAGACACAGCAGGACGTTGTCTGTGTAATTAAGGATTAATTTAACCTACACCCGGACGTCAGACGGACGTGGCCTAACTTTAATCAATTTCCAAGCAGCGGAGGCTGTAAGTCGCATCGAGGGCATTGATATGTTGTTAACCACTCCCTCGCCGCTTTTCGGTTTATATTTCAATTAAGTTTTACATGCTTGATTGCGTTTTAGCCGCCTTAATGTCCGGCAATTACTCAGGGGCCTGCAAGCGACTAGGAGCGACTAGGCCTGGATTCACCTACCAGCGATCGGAGCGCAGTCGAGTCCATCTCGACTCCTGTCTCCGTTGGCTCCGTGGCAAATTGCTTCATTCGGTCGGTGGCTGTGCTGCCAGCGGGTTATTGGAATTGAATTCGATTGCGATATTTATCTAGTGGCCAACTTGGGGCCTTATGCTAATGTGCATGCTCCCGCGGAATTCGTTAATAATCCCTCCATGTCCCCGCCCCAGCCTGAGGCGGATGGCCATTTGTAATGCGCCTCTGCGTGAATTGAGACATCGTTTAGAGGCGCTGCTGCTGCCAGCCAGTGCCAGTGATGGAGTACCGAATTATCCAATTAATTCCTCGAACACACTTTCGACCTAGTCCGAATCTCAAAGTCCTTCACTGAATCCAGCCAAATTAGCATCCTTGGACGCTGTGCAATATTCATTACCAACTGCAATTACGCTCAAGTGCATAGATCAAAGTGGCTTCATCGGTGGAGATGGCTCTGGAAAATCCTAATAAGAGCGCTCCCACAGCCGGGCAAAAAAGGTCAATTTAATCTTCATAAAATTGCTTAGGTTCCTCTCCTTTTCAGTAGCCGGAGCAGAGTAAATAGCCAGAGGCCAGGCGAAACGAGAAACGAGGACTACGAGCAGGGAGCAAGGAGCGGACAAACATCATTTAAAATGCTAATATCCGCAGTTATGTGCATTTCAACTTGACTTTAATTATTGTTATTGCCAAAGTTAACAATCTGCGCCATCGTCGGCTGCTCATTTCCAGCGGCTGATGGACTGGCTAACTGCCTGACCGTGGTCCTGGTACTGGTCTCCTCTCGACCGATGGCTTCTAATCGGGCGCCGAAGGAGAAGGAGAAGGAGGAGGAGGTCTCGCATTTTTTCTCTCCTCTTGCTATTTGTAATATGTAAAAGGTTGTAAATTTAATGGCCTGACGGTTGCGGACGATGGGCGAGGTAATGAAAATCAAACAGCGCCAGCTGTCATTAAACTAATCTCCGTAATTCAATAGCCCCAGACGGGGCCACTAACCATCGGAGTAGTCCTCATCCCATGACATCCCGAGGGTCTTGCTTCCTCCTTGGTCGAATGAAGGGGTCTCTGCCTCTGCCGTTGCCTCTGTCCCGAAATGAGTTTCCGCGGAACTCTTCGTTTTTCGGGCTAGTTAGTCTAGTTAGGTAAGTGCGCGGCAGCCGCAAATTATAATGCTGCCTGCACTTTTGAACTTTGCTGGGGTTGGCCGGGTCTCCGTGAAACTTTCGGCTAAGCAAATTGCAGCTCGCCTGATTGGACCCGCCGCGGAGTCTTCGGGAGGGAATCGACAAAAGACAAAAGAAGAAAGTTGCCAGTGCTGCAGAGTTTCAGGAGTTTTGTGCCTGTCTGTGGCAGTGGGTTAAGTCCCTGGCCACCAAAGGGAAATTAGTTTAAGGTGGAAGTGGAATCGCGCAAAACTTTTGCCCAGAACCTCTCAAGAAGAGCACACTTTAATTAGAACTCTGAAGAGCAGAGACTTCAACTTCAACTCTAACTCTGAGTCCTTCTGTAAAACCTCCCTGAGACTTGATAAATACGTCTGCCGAGAATCCATTTCGCTTGCCATTAACTCCACAGTCACTTAGTCGCTCAGGAATCTCAGCCACACATCGCCTGTCAATCCAAGCCACTTGGTGGTTCCCATTCCCGAAACGACAGCCAGCATCCCACGACGATTCGCGATTCGTCGGATCAAAAAGGCCAGATCCAAGACGATCTCCATGGCTCCATGGAGTGAATCACACAAAAAAATAAGAGGAAAAGAAAAGAGGCTTTCTCAGGTGGCTCTTTGGTTTTTGGCTCAGCCTGCCCGCATTGCAAGCACATCAAATGTTAGTTGCAAGTCCCGATCTCGATTCCCCATTCCCTAGCCCTTTGTTTTAGCCTTTCTTCCATTGAGTCTTTAGTATAAATTCCGCGGAAGGAGGAGAGCAACCAAGCAGACAAAATGTATTTTGTTTATCTGCGACGTGCTCATCACGCATCGTTTTTGTGGTTTTACTTTAGTGCCGCCATAAAGGGTTAATGTTAATGATGCCTTTGTGGTGGTGCTGGTGTGGTTCTGGTGCTTCGGTTGTCAGTCAGCCCTGCACTTGAGTGTTTTTTAAGTGCATGTCCATAAAGGCAGACAGCAAATTATTACGGGCAGAGCGAAATGAAGAAAGGCCAAGAACGGATCTTCGAGTGTGTCTGCATTGATTTCTGGCCCGTAACTCACGTGGTAATTGACATGTTTATGGGCCAGAATGGACTCCCCCAACCAGTGGGTATGAGATGGTGATGGTGTCATCCATCACGGCCAACGGCATGCAATTGCGAAACTTCCGCTTCAATCTCACAATTGCCCGCATTGCCCCACCTCGAGCTTCCTGTCCGCCGCTCAAGAGCTCTCATAAACTTTAATTCAAACGAAAATGCGTCAATAAAACGTAAACAAAAGGCGGAGAAAACCAAATAAAACTAAAGGCCTGCCAGAGAGCACCGCATGAACTCTTTGATCCACAAAGGGTAGGGGATAACCAGTTTGTGCATTTCAGAAATGGCATTTAATTAGCCGGCTGCCGGACTCTTTCTCCAACTGTCACATCCGTTAAAAGGCTGCCAGATCGCTCCGCTTGCATATTCATGGAGAGATACATAGATACATAGATACATAGATACCTTGATGATCCCAAATAGCCCTAAAGGGCGCTAGCCAAACACCAAATATTTTCAACGCTGCTCAAGAGATATGCAAAACGAGTTACGCCGATATTTATTGAAATTGTTTATCTCCGCCGTTTTGTTTCTCGTGGATTTGGTATTTTTTCACGATCTAACTGTTTGTGTCATAACATAAATTTCGTTGTCAGAGCGGTAGCCAAAGTTTTCCGATTTTATAGACTTCGCCTTATCGGCTAATGAAGTTGTCTATAAAATTAGCAATTAAATGAACACGCCGGCCAGCGGCATTGCAGATAAGCCGCATCGCTTTCGTGGGGCAGCTGGGGGTTAAATGGTTAATGAGCCGGATGAGGCGGACTGAGTGGTCATAAAAGCTTCGCCTGGCCCCAAAATCTTTGCCGCTGATCTCAGGAGATATCGATTGGTGGTGGTCCACGCAGGCTATTATATGCCCTCTGATTTCTGGGTTCTCTTTAAGACCTTCATTGGTATTTAGTAAACAATACAGTTTAAATTGAATAGTTAATCTATATATGTAGTCCGAGAGTGACGGCACATCTCTCTATTTACTCCGATTTCACCAGAACTTACCTTGCATGTTGAGGACCAACGAAGCCCGTATCGTGGGCTGAGCTCGCTGTGATTTGAGCATCTGTTATGGCCAACGACTCCATGCCCAGGGGCACATTGCATGTGGCTGAAAAGAGCAGAAAATTGAAAAAATATGCTTGAATTTTAGTTTCGTAAAAATGAGGCGAGCGTTAATTAATTACGATGGGAGCCACATGAAAGCGGACTGCACCATCCGCCCATCGAATCTATCAAAATAAGTCGAGCGTCAGTTTGAATTCCTTGACATCTGCCAGATAGGGAGACCCCGCCCAGCGTTTCATATTAAAGTAAGTATGAGGCCATGCCATTTGCCAAAGTCAACTCCTGACTGGCACAACGTCAACTACTTTGCTTAATTTATTGCCTACCAATTGCAACTGCTCCTTCGCTTTGCCTTTGAAATGGGAGGAGCAGTCTCCACATCTGACAGTCGCCTGCTGACATTTTCGCCAGAATCAACACTGATTTGACATGACTTTTGTTGCCCCGGCCCAGCAGGCCCTCCACGTACCAATCCCACTTTTGATCTCCACCAGCCCAAGGTGCGTGCATTCGTTTAGAAGTTTATAAATAAACACACACACACACACAGGGGCCAGTTTACCAGGAGGGAGAAGGTAGTAGGAGGAGAGCCTGGGGTAGCCAGTCAGCCAACCAATTCAAATTGAGCTTGTGGATGCGGATGCTGAGCAAGTTCCAGTTCGTGATTCAGAGATGTGTTTGCAGCTAAGTGAAGGATTTAAGAATTGAAATCTTAAAGAACTTCAGAACTTCAAGCTTTTAAGTTGCCAGTTAGGAATAATTAAAAACCTATATCATATTAAAACCATATAAATTTACCATAAATTTAATTACTTATAGAAAACCCAGCAAATTATGAATGACCTATGCCTGATACGTTTTCTACTCTTTCTTGTTTCGATATTTTCCATCTCTGCTGGTTGTTCCTAGTGCCTTTTGCACTTGATTGGACTTGACAGTTGCCCAAGCTAAAGCCACTGAGACCCCAGGGTCCAGGCCTGGCTGGGTCAAAAGCCAGCAGACCCGAGATCTCGAGTACCACCAGCTCTCCTCACCCCATTGGATCTGGCTGCGACTGCGACAGTGCACTCACTGCATATTGCCAGTGCAGTCGCTTGGAAAATTGTTGCATGTTTTGCTAACTCAACTCGCTCCGATGTGTCTAGCCCCAGCAACAACATTGCCAGAGAGCTCCTTTGGCATGTGTTTGCTCTTCGGGGCGGAGGTGGGGCAGGGGCTAAGTGCAAATATAGCCAGCAGTCTGTTCTGTCCTGTCCTTCTTCGGGCTTTGAGTTTGAGTCCTCTCGTGCGGAGGCATCCGAAATGAACATGTTTATAGATTTGTATTTATGTATTTGGCTTGCTTGATTAACTATAAATATTATGGCAGAGGGATTTCACGTCTGAGGAGCAGCGGGCAGGCAGGCGGAGGGGCTATTGTGACAGATGAAGACGCTAGTGGAATGACTTCATATGAGTTCGACGAGACGGGAATTCGGCTAAAAAAATATATATATTCAGAAACTTTTAGTCAGTAAAGCCCCGGCTTATTCACTCTTTTTCCTAACCAATAAAAAAAAATGATGCCAATGGAATTCATTTCGGAAATCAATAAGCCTGGCCCTTCCAGTCCAATGGCCTCCGAATGGCCAAGTTTATGTACTTCCCATTCTAATGTAACATCCCCTCATGCGGGCCCCACTCCCGGCAAATGCCACCCCTGGGGGTCCTGCGTTGTCGCCAGAGAAGCCTCGTACAAATCGCATCGAATTTATGAACCGCTGACATGCCACGGCCATTGAAATTGGCCATAATCCTAAGCCGCGTTGCTATGGCTTCATTAAAGCGTTCTCCCCAACTACCGGGCACTGGCTCTCTCTCTCTCTTTAGAGACGGCATAAAAATGTCAATATGCATATTAATGAGCTGGAGCTAAGTCCTCAGAGCCTCAGAGTCTTGTGGGGGGACGAGGACGAACCAGGCTGCAACATGTCCGTCTGAGGGGCACCCTGCGGCGCACTCTTCTGGTTGCAGAACCCCAACTGAGTTGCCTGTCACTGGCCGGCGAAATGATGGGCCGCATAAAAATAGCTTTCAATGTCAATTAAAATAGATTTAGCCAAGTAAGAGCACTGGTTCTCGGACTTCCCCCGCAGGCGACATAGACAAGCGTAATGATTGATTCGTGGTCCGACTTACTGACCCCACTTTTTGACCTCTCGACTTCCCGACTTCTCGCTTATTAAATCAATTCATCTCGCCCTTCCACTTACCAATATCGAAGGCTGCCGCTGTCGGCGTGTTGAGCATTGAGCAGCCACTGGCGATCATCAGCGCCCAGAGGCTAAGCGTCCATCGAGTGGATGCCATTGGGGCTGTGGAGCGGGTGGAGGGCCTCAGGCGACCCTGGGCAGAGGCTGTGGGTGGTGGTGAGCGGGTTGGGTGGGAAAGGCACTGGCGGGAGAACATTATGATGCTGCTGGTGGTCGCTTCACTTGGCGACTTGAGCTTCATTTTGTGGTGACTCCAAGGTGGCAGTGAGATCTGTAAGGAGACAAAGATACAATATTAGTTAGAAGCAAATTAAAATAAACGTACTGAATACGTGGTCGCTTTTGAATTAAACCCACCCACCTAAACCCCGCCTGCGAGTGCTGTCTGGTCAGGCAGAAAGTACACTTCGTTATCGCATCACTATGCTTTAACTGCGAACGAATCGGAAACTTAATTGACGCCGGATAAGCCAAAAACCAGCAGAATATGCAGCAGCCTGTCGTCATCGTCATAGTCATCGTCTACGTCTCCGTCTCCGTCTCCGTCTCTGGCTCCTTCTTCGTTTGACTTTTCCCTGGCCGACTCCTGGTCTGAATGAATGCAAAGTGAATGTGCGTGACGAGCAACAGCCGGGGGCTGGAGACCCGGAGGATGACTTTGTGCTTTTCATTTAGCATTATTTTGCAACAATTTCTGCAGAGGCAGACATGTGCGAGAGGAGCCGGGAGCTGCAAAGATGCCGTAGAAAGCGGCCAAAGCAAACAGCTTCACCTCTTCTCCCCCTCTGCTCGGTCTGGTTATCCATTCACCGTCGACTAAGCCAGTTTGCGCTTTAACTTAACGCCGGCTGGCCAGGAAAAACCAGAGCATAGAAGCAACGTCAGCTGGTGGAGCAATTTAAGGCAGAAGCTCCCCGAGAAAAACGTATTTAGCTTATGCAAAGCGTGCAGCGGAGTGGTAAAAAGGGACCAAAGGTGCGGCGCAAAAAGGCTGAGATATGATGAACGTGCCGCACACCCGCTCGCCCGGTTAGTCAGGCGGCAAAAAGGACATTCTAGGCTCTATGTTTGTGTTTAGTTTGCGAAATTTTCTTTTGATGTCTTTTAATTTTAATGAGTTGGGATGTGGACCAGGAGGCAAAGGCAGCGGCAGACCCAAGTAAAACTAATTAGAAGCGACAAGGGACTGAGGTGGGGTGAGGGTCAGAGGGAGTAGCTTGCCACTCCAGACTTCATTGTCCTGTTGGTGCCAGGTGTGTGGCATAAGAAACCCGCTCAGGTTACCAAGAAGCATACTTCTCCACTATGTCTCTCTGCTGATTTCCATCTAATAAATGTGGCCATATAGCGCAGCTTCTTGTTGTGTGTCGCTACATGTGAATGGGATGCCAAGGAAAACCCTATACGAGCTACGAGGCATGCAAAAAACGTCTACGTCATGGGGCAATTTGTCACGCAGCTGCTGCTGCTGCTCCTCTCCAGTCAAACCACCCACTGCCCCATGTGTGCTGTGTGCTGCTCCATGCTCTTGTCGATAACTCAGCGCTTAATTGCTCATCTTTCAACGTCCAGCTCCGGCTCTGGCTACAGGCTCCTGGCTCCTGCCTCCTGGCCCAGCGAGGAGCAATTATAAAAATTCTCCACGAGCTGGGAATGTCTGAAAAATGCTGGCTGTCATAGTTTCAGCTCGCTGCAGACACACGATGTAGGTTAAATTAATAGTGACACTTGGCGCTGCACCACCTGGCGGCGTCTTGGAACTGGCTTTCCCGTCGGCCAAGTTCCTGCTTTTCCGCCAGCGAGCAACTTTTGCCTGCACTCGATCGGCCGCGAATATTTCATAAATTGAAATGTACAGTTAGTTAATTACACGTTCAATTAGCTCCAAAAGAGTGGCATTAGCCACAGTTCGGAGTGCTGTCATTGAACGATTTATCGACTAATGGCTCATGATCATTGCAGGTTTGCTGGTTGTTGGTTGGCAGTTGAGAGCCACATAATGGCTGGCTCTTAAAGCGTCCCATAATCCGAGGCCAGTTGGGACCTTTAATTCCCTCTTAAGTCCCGCACAATCTACCCCCACCCCACCCCGGGGCAGTCCAATTTAGTCAACTGATGGAAGGGACGCGGAGGCTATCAATCAAAAAAGTTTCCATTTTAAATGTCAACACATTCCCACAGCCCCCCTCCTGTTCGGAGCGTGGAGCGTGGGGCACGGAGGAACTTTCTATGGCCGCCCAGATTGGGAGTCTCGAGAACTAAAACAAATTGCTGCCGAGCGCTAAAATTTAAACATCAAACTCTGTATGTGTGTGTGTGCTGGGCGGACTTCCTGATTAACCCGAAAAGGGAGAGGGCAGCAGAGATTGCCTGGCGCAGAGTAAAAATCCGGCAAATAGCAAAAATACCAGCAACCAAATTGATTAATTGACGGAGCACAGTTTTTCATGGAAAAGAATCTGGAGCGCGCATCAGGCGTACTCTCATCCATATAGACACATACATATATACATATGTATATATATATATTCGTATATAGTAGGCCACATGGCCCAACACAATTTGCATAAATCGAAACACAAAAGCGAACTGCGAGCTGCTGCGCTGGAAATCGGGAGCGAAAGATATTTATCTTGTTCAGTGTCAAATTAAGTTGATCAATTAAGCAATTGACGTCGGAGTGAAAAATGCACAGCCAGAGTTTGCTGAAAGGGCGGTGTACAGAGCTTAATGCGACTTTTGAACACACACTCGCAACACCCAACAACACACACTCACAACAAGTGACGCAGATTGCGCAGGATGGGAATGGGTTGGTGTTGGTGTTGCTCGTGTTGGGACTGGGGACTTGGGACCCTTGCTAGTGACAATTTCTGTCAATTCAGCGGCGCTAATCAAGCAAGAGACAGCCAAGCATTTAAATCGGGTGCAGCAGCTGGCAGGGAGAGAGGAGTGAGGCCACTAAGTTGGGACTGGGACTAGACAAATTGGCTGCGATTGCAACGGGATGGCTGGGGCAGGGACTTGCCTCAAAGCCAACGACATGCGGGCAGGTTCCGCAACGCAGGCGGCAGACAGCCAACGTCATATAATCCATCAACTCTGCAGACAGTTGCAACAGCAGCAGAAACAGAAGCAACGGCGACGACTCGCATTTCCCTCAGTTGTAATCAAATCAAATGACATTGCAGACGTACAGGCAGCAGAAACTTTGTAGGAAGGCAGTCATGGCCAGGAACCACCTCCAGAAAGGGGGACCTATTCCCAGTTCGCTTCTCCTCCGGCCATTGTCACATTTGATGGCCAACACTTTTGATGATTTATTAATGGCTCGGCCAGGAGGAGAACGGGGACTTAGTTGCGTGCGGAGTGGACTAGAAGGGATTTAATGGTGTATGGGACAGAGAGAACCAAAGGAAATCCTCTCGACAAAACCCGGAAGAGCACAGCGTAGACATCAAGTCCCGACGGAACAAAAGGCCCGAACCATGAAGAACCATCGATATCCAGTCAGGCGGCAGCTCCCCCCCTGCCCGCTCTCTCTTTAAGTCGGGCCTTCAATAAAAAATTTGCATAGCAGTCACAAAACCAAAGACAGTTGACAACTTTTTTATTTGCCCCGTCGTCTGGGTGAAAAGTCGCCTGCCTTTCCCCGCGTGACGCATTTGTCTATTATTGTGACAGGCTCGAAGGCTCGAAGAGCTCTCGACGATGCGAGACGCTTGAAGGGCCTGCCGGCGCGTCGGCAGAAGGCAGGAGGTAGGAAAGGGGGCCACTTAAAGCCTGTTTCTATCGATTTTCGAATGGCAAACATTCAGCCAAGTTCATTAAAGTCACATCAGAGGCGGAAGTACCAGCCGGGCTGCCGCTTTCGAAACCACAAATAGACACAGCTACAGCGGCGGGAACAACAAACAAACGGAGCGGCCACAAATCAACGCCTAACCGCAGGGGCGGTTGGGGGGCGGAAGGACCCCCGGCAGAAGGACCGAAAAAAGGCGACGCCGCCATTTTGTCTGTCCTCCGTCGTCGTCGGCCATTAAATATGCAAAAAGCAACATGCGAAAAAAGTGTTGCATACTTTTAGTTGCTGCGTCAAACCGCAAAAAGGCAGCAGAGAAGCGAAGCGCCCAACAGGAAGCCGGAAAAATAAATAGACGGAAGGAAGAGAAGAGAGCTGCCACCTTTTGTCCTGCCCACCATTCCTCCTCCTCCTCCTCCTCCATCTCCTATTTCCCTTGCTTTCTCTCTCTCTGTCAGGCTTTTCCTTGCCGTCTCGCTTTGGTCTCCTTCGCGAGCCATTCATTAGCATAGACATAGAGAAGCAATATTGAATTTCTATGCCAGTGTGAGTGTGAGTACCAGGAGGCGGGGGAGGCGTGTGAGGTCGCAAGGTTGCGAAAAAATGTTTCACGCTTTGGTGAGCTCAGGAAATCACAACGGGGCAGTGGAGCGTGAGAAGGGCAAGGCAGGCGCTGTACCAGGAGCAGAGATGGGTTTTGCTAAAGGGCCAAAGGGTGGAGAGAATGGGGTCCTGACAGGCTCAAGCAGCGCCTGGGGATCAAATTAGTTGAGTTTTTTGAAAAGAATGCGGCAAATTCTAGACTTTATGCATGATAAGTGGCGAGTAAAGTGCTCGCTCGGCAAGGGGTTCCTGTCGTAGCAACGGGAATATGAGAGGACAAAGCTGGAGCTGGAGCAGGAGCAGGAGCTGAAGTAGCAGACCGACAGTCGTCGTCGTCGTCGTCGTCACATGTCAGTTAGGCAAACAGGAAGTGGAAAACGAGGAAGCGCAAGGATATTGACAGCAGTTACCCAGAGGAACGGGTAACGAGAGAAGGAGGAGCACATGACGAGAAGTGATCGGAGTGCTTTGGAAGCAATCACCGTAACAGGGAATCAATATACATTATTACAGAATCAAATTAACGTAGTAAGCAAGCAAGAGGCTTCTTTAACAACATTTATTTCCTCGTTATCTGCATCCAAAAATAATATAATGCCATCGATTAAATTCGCGACAAGATCATACAGAGGCACTTATCCCCACGGGAGGTGCACTGTCTACCTTTTCCGAATTCCTAAAGGCTTCAAAGGCATTCCCCTTGGGACGGGGCAGGGGGCCTTGGTCCATCAAAGCGGATCTCTCTCGTCTGGCTGTCACCCCACCGCGGTCGGACCACTCAGGTCTGTCAATTGAAGAAGCTGCTTTAGCGTAACTTTGCCCAGCTCAGGGCACATCCTGTTACCCGCTTTGTCTGCGGTTTGTCA